TCATTATCTTTTAATATTTAGATTTTATTGTTTTAAACAGAAAAACACATATTTTTTATTTCATTAAATTTTTAGGAGATTATTAATTTTTTAAATTGTTTTTTTTTTTTTCTTTTTTTTTATAAAAATATATTTTTAATATAATTTAATTTTTTTCTTTTGTTAATTTCATTTCCTTTTAATATTTAGATTTTATTGTTTTAAACAAAAAAAATATATTTGTTATTTCATTTAATTTTTGGGACCTTTATTATTATTATTTTATTAAAATGTTTTTTTTCGTCTTTTTTTGAATAAAGATATTTTTAATCTCATTTAATTTTGTTTCTTTTTCTAATTAAATTTTCTTTTATTTATTATTTTTTATTGTTTTAGATCGTAAAATACAGATGTACATAGGAATGTTGTTTAATTTAATTTAATTTTTTAAAGGCAAGCAGCATAACGCTAAGACCTCCTCGTTAGCAAATATTTCAATTAGTCTTTCGAATGACAGTAAAGAGCGCTTTCAAAATATTTGGCAGAATTGACAATTGTCTTACGGAAGACTTTTGGTGAGTTGAAAGACAGTTGCCAGAATTGCCCTCGTTATAGATTTTCCAATGGAGACAGTACGCATGTACTTATTTAGCCTCCTTGCCTGAATCCTATTTAGTACAGTAGAAAAATGTTTGTCCTCTGTTGCAAAACTTTTGTTTATTTTTTCACGCATTGCAGCTTAAAAGGAAATTCTTGCATAAAGAAGTACAAAAATCCCTTTTGGTTGCTATGAAGCATTGTTTATGGTTGTTGTAGTGTAAGGACGCAATCAAATACATATACATATGTTTACTTAGTGTGTATACATATTTTGCCTGATAAGCTTACTGGCACAAAGAGTAAATAGCACAGAAAAAAGGTTAATTCATCGTCAGACATACATACATACATACATACAACACCACACAGCACGTGCATGTGCAAAGAAAAACAGCTCAGGTGGTAACATTAGAGAATTGCTGCTGCTAAATTTATAGCGAACACACAAGGAGAGGGTGGCAACCAATTTTTCCGATTTCACGAGAGAGCTGTGATATGTATTAATGCTGCTGCTTAATTGGGTAGAGAAAAGTGTAATATGTATTTATGTACATATGTACATATGTATGAGAGTACGTGCCTAAGAACGTAAAGCACCTTTGGGTTCGGTAGGATTTGACTTAGCAGAAGTGTTAACATTGCTATTTTTAGAAGGTCTTTAAAAGCAGAATTACAAAGGTAGTCGATCGAAAAGGATGCCTCTTGATATGCATTTACATTACACCGTACCATCTTACTTACAGAAAAAAGTTCGCCGTAGACCTTCGAGTCTTAAGTAATTTTGCAAAGCAATTTTGAAAAAAAAATATTTTGGCCGAACCTAGGATTTGCCTTTTTCACATTTTACTTTTTAATAGTTCTACTGAAATGCTAAAAATAATTCCTTAGAAAAAGTTTAATGAGTTTTAGTTGGCTTTAATTTACTGACATTAGGGTGGTACCATAGGGGTAGGGTGAGTGCCAGAACGGGGTACTTGAAATCAATGAACTTTTGAACAAAAAGACAAGAACATTGATGTATCATGCATTAAATGCCGGAGGTATAAAAAAAAATTTAAAAAGACGACCCCTACGTTCAGCAAAAAGAAAATTGTTTCTCCTTTTTCCGGTAAAGTCTCGGTTTTGAACGTAAATTTGGAATCAAATGCGAATATAAATTAAATAAGAATAAGACATAAGTATCTACATTAGGGTGGTACACAAGGTTTTTCCCAGCCATATATAACTTTAAAATTTTGCTAACTACTTTTTCATAACCGATAATCGCATCTTATGTGCTTGCACACTCATCAGACGTATATTGAAAAAGTAGTTTTACATACTGTCATGCATACATATATCGATAAAAATTTTCAAAACTGTAAAATATCTATATTAATTATGTATGTAAGTTAAACAGAAAGAAAAAAATATCGATAATAAAACATAAATCGATATCGTTATAGATAATTTTGATCAATTGCTACACTTGACACTTAAAAATATTTTTAATCATTAATGATTTATTGCCTTAATTTCCATTTTGATAAAATTAAATAAAGTTAAAGCACACTACAGCATTTGAAATGCCGTTTTTAATTACAAAGTATTTAGTGTGTAATATAAGAGTCAATGGCAAACTAATATTAATATCGCTCCAAGTATATGAATCTATAAAAATATCGAACACTATAAAATATCGATATCTATTATGTATGTAAGTTAAACATAAAGACAAAAGTATCGATAACAACATAGAAATCGATAACCTTAACGATAAATTTGTCGATAATTTTAATAAATTTCCACGCCAAACACTTTACATACGAATTAAAGTAATTTCTGATTTTTTTCCCTCAATTTCCATTTTGATAAAAATAAGTAAAATTAGTGATGTGACTTAAAGCTCACTGCAACATTTAAAATGCATTTTACAATTACAAAGTATTTAGTACACATTAGAGGTTTACGCCGATAGATATTGCGGCGGCGGCGTCGTCAATCTTAGAAATAATCGGCGGCGGCGGCGACACATACCAAAGAGCATAGAAAACCATGAAGCTGCTAAACTTATCCTATCATTTTGTGAGCGTCAGCCATTCACCACTCTTATTCAGTTGGAATTTTTTTAAATTCCATTTTTAATAAATATCAATAAATTGAAATTTCTTCTAATTCCTGCTTGAATAAGAATGATGAATGCCTAGTGCTGGAGGTATGTATTGAGCCAATTAGAAATAACTTAAGCCTTAAATTGTTGACTAGGCACTTTTTTATTGAAATAACATAAAAAACAACAAAGTAATTGTAAAACAAAAAATGAACTTAGCATTTCTTATGCTGGTTAAAGAATAGAAATATTAATTCACAGTCATATGATTATTATATAGAAATCTATGCATACATACAGACACATAAAAATATGTGTTGTTGCTAAAGCAATCAAGAAGTTACAATAAGAGGTTCTCTTTACAAGAATCATAATTGTCATGAATAAAAATTATTTTGTTAGGTTAGGTTAGGTTAACTCGGCTGCCCTAATCCCTCAGGAAAAGGGCACACTTAGGCCACCAAGGGCCCGTTGTGATGCCGTATAAGAGACTCCAAGTGTCCCTCCTCTTACCCTAGTAGTGGAACCACTTCGTTGCTCTGATGAAGCGCACAAAGTCATAGACACTGGCTGAATCCCGTTCGGCCAGACATTCAAAAGAATAATGGAGGAACGAGCATCGGCGAGCTCTAGCCAGAGCAGGACAGTGGCATAAGTAGTGCTCCACGCTTTCGATTTCCTCCTCATCGCGGCAGCTACGACAGTAGTCGTTTGACTGCAAACCCATTCTAGTGGCGTGGATTCCCATCAGGCAATGCCCGGTGAGAACTCCAATAACATGCCGCAACAGTGGTCGCTCCAAGTGGAGAAGAGGGTGAGATCTACGCTTGTCAAGCTTAGGCCAGATATGTCTTGCTATCCTGCAAGTAGGCTCCGCAGACCATCTTATATTAGCCTGTCCGACGAAGTTATTCTCAAGCCAGAGCTTGTAAGAAGATAGCGGAATGCCCGCATTACGGGCTGTACTGATTGCAGGCAACAAGGTTCCTTTCCTTGCTAGTTCATCTGCAGTACAGTTTCCTGGTATGTCTTTGTGGCCTGGCACCCACACAACATTAGTGACGTAACACCTTGCCAGTTCATTAAGAGTACGTCTACATTCCAAGACAACCTTCGACGTAGATTTGTCTCTATTAAGTGCTTTAATAGCCGCTTGGCTGTCAGATAAGATTGTTACCGCCTTCAGATTAATTAGAGAATCGATCAGCCAACTTGCAGCTTCATTTATTGCTGTTAGTTCAGCCTGAAAAACGCTGCATAGATCTGGCAGACGGAGGCTGAGGCTAAGTGAGAGTTCTTGCGAGTATACCCCACTTCCTACCTTCAGATCCAACTTGGAGCCATCAGTGTAGATGGCTGTTGAGTCAGAATACGATATCAGGACCGAATCCTCCTCCCATTCTTCCCTTGAGGGGATCCTTGTCCGGAAATAATTCTTTAGTCCCGTAGACGGGACTGTGTAGTCCAGGCGCCTAAAGTCATCTGGAAGATTTTCCAAGATTCTAGAGTGCCCAAACCTCGTGTCACTCCATTTGATTAGCGCATTTAATCTAATAGCATTACAGCTTGCCTGTAGTTTACCATATAGGTCCACAGGTAGCAAGTGAAGCAAGGTCTCTAGGGCTTTAGTCGGCGTCGATGGTAACGCTCACGTGATCATCATGCACGCCACCCTTTGGACAGCTGTTAATTTGTTTCTTTTTGTAGATTTATCTACGGACGGCCACCAAACCGTTATGCCGTAGAATAGAATGGGACGCACAACCGCTGTGTATATCCAGTTCACAATATGAGGCTTCAATCCCCATTTTTTCCCAATCGCCGATTTACAGGCATACATAGCAGTTATAGCTTTCTTGCAGCGCTCTTCTATATTGCGCCGCCAAGTTAACTTTCTGTCAAGAATAACGCCCAGATATCTAACCTCCTCCGAGAAAGTCAGTACGATACCGTTCAAGGAGGGAGGTTGTAGCCGGACAGCTTTCGTTTTCTTTGAAAACAGAACCATGACCGTTTTAGCCGGATTGACACTAAGTCCTACTTCTTTGGACCAGGTATCCACGACGCGTAAGGCGCCTTGAACTAAGTCACATAGAACTTGGGGGTGCTTACCAATTGCCGTCAGGGCAAGATCATCCGCGTAAGCAATGACTTGGCAACCTGTGCCTTGCAACCGTGACAGCAGGGTATCCACAGTTAGATTCCAAAGAAGTGGGGAGAGAACACCGCCTTGTGGGGTTCCGCGACTCGCATATCTTGTTATAGATACCTCCCCCATCTCCGAGTAAATAGTTCTACTGCCTAAGAGGCGACGAACAAACTCAACCATAGGGTGATCCAGCCCAAGGCGAGCTAGGGCTTGAAGGACCGCTCCCAGGAGAACATTATTGAAGGCACCCTCGATGTCCAGGAACACGCCTAGTGCAAATTCCTTAGAAGCGAGAGTCTTTTCAATGGTGCTGACAATACTATGCAAAGCTGTATCCACAGATCTACCTTTCCAGTAGGCGTGTTGACAGCTAGAGAGATTATTTACATCAATTTCCTGTCGGATCTGCAAGTCTACAAGTCTTTCCAGAACCTTGAGAAAGAAAGAAGTAAGGCTTATCGGTCGAAAGTCACTTGGTTTAACGTGGGAGGGTCTACCTCCCTTGGGAATAAAAACAACTTTCGCCAGGGTCCAACCCTTGGGTATGAAACTAAGCTTGATACAAGCCTTATAGATTAAGACAAGTATCGGACATAACACGTCAGATGCTGACTGAAGTTGGGCAGGGAAGATACCATCCATACCTGGAGATTTGTAGGGCTGGAAGGACTTTATGGCCCAGTCTACCCTTTGTACATCAATGAAGTCCGCTGAAGTCAACGGCCGTTCAGAGATAATAGCCGCGGTGTTGGGCTCCGCAGTACATCCTGGAAAATGCGCGTTCATTAGGACTTCAAGCATTTCCTCACGATATGACGTCCAGTCACCATTTGGTTTCTGAATATACATCGGGTTCGTCGGACTTTTCGCAAGCACCTTTCGCAGGCGATTTCCCTCCGACTGACCCCCTATGCTATCGCAGTAATCCTTCCAGGAGTCCCTTTGGGCTTTCCTGGTGGCATTTTTAAATTTCTTCAGGGCTGCCTTATATGCAGCCCAAGAACCATCGCGCTTTGCCGCATTAAAGAGTATCCTGCTTTCCTTCCTTAGAGAGGCGATTTCTTTGCTCCACCAGTGTGGCTTCTTCTTTCCTCTCGGAAGTACAAGTGGGCAGGAAGCAGATAAGGCCGAATTACAGGCTTCGGTAATGCAATCAACGGCTTCTTCAATTTGTTCCGATGAGCCTAACTCACCGAGAGAAGCCAGGTTTGCGAGGGAAAGCTCCGCTTCATCAGGTGGGGACAGTAAGCCTAGCTTACTGAGAGAAGCCTTGTTGAGCAAATTCCCCGAGAGTACTTTCCTAAACTTAGTCCAGTCAGTACGTTTCCTGTTTCTGTAAGCGGCCGAGGCCGGAAGTTCAAAGGAGATTACAAATGAGAGATACATGTGATCAGAGAATGAATGGTCGCTCAGTACCTTCCACTCCCTAATACTCTCAAAGAAAGCGCTAGACGATAAGGTAATATCTAATACCTCCTTCCTATTTGAGGTTACAAAAGTGGGTTTATCACCAATATTACAGATGGCTAGATTATATAATAATATAAAATCAAGTAACAACTCACCCCTCGGGTTGATGTCGGTAGATCCCCATACCCCGTGATGCGCATTTGCATCGGCTCCTATGACTATGGGAAACTTCCTCGAGTTGGCCTCTTTCACCACGTCCAGTAACCGAGCGGGAGGGCAGTCTTGGCGATCGTAGGCCATGTATGTACTGACCAGCCAGAGTGTTGTGGATTGGCTTTCCACAGAGATGCTCACCGTATCTTCATCGCTGAACTGTGTGAGTAAATTATAAGAAATACTTTTTTTGATTAATATACATGCCCTGATCTTACCTGCCACAGGTGCCGACACTATGCGGTAAGCATCAGAATTAAGTCCACAAACCCTGTGCTTAACAACCCAGGGCTCCTGGACAAAAACTAGCTCCTCCCCTCTATCACTGAGGTGCAGGAGCAGAGCTGCAGAAGCTGCTTTAGAGTGATGAAGGTTTATTTGTAGAACCTTCATCCACAGCTTATAAAATATCGTCCCCGTCCATCACTTCTGGCGGGGTTCTATCGAACGCCTCAACGATGGTATCATCGGCGTCCTCTGAGTCCGACGTCAGAAGCAGGTTCCCGAACTCCCTCGTCCACCGGTTAAGTACCGATCCGTCACCAGAAACAGATTGCGTATCGCTATCTGCTTCCGCTGCCGAGTCTGACCTCACCACCGGGCAAGTGGCCTCGAGAACCTCCTGGACCTCTTGGTTAGAAGCAGGACCGCTCAAGGCGTTTTCTGCTCCAGATATAGGGCCGCCTTTAGGCGGAAGATTGCCAGCCTCGGGTTCACCCTCGGTGTTCCCCGGCTCTATCATTTTACCCTCATTCCCTTTTTGGGTTTTGAGGGTAATGGAGTAAAAGCCGTAGCTAATTACTCCCTTGCAGTCAGCAAGGATCGGGAGAGACTCATCGTTTATCACCAAGGTGATGTAACGTTGCTGCTCCCTAACCTCGCTGACCTTCACTACTTTCCAATCAAGGGCTGGTAGTGTATCATTTGAGACCTGGATGATATCCAGAATCTCCTCAGGACTCGAGGGTTCCTCTGGGACCCAGGCTCTGGCTCGCGGCTTACAAGGGATTTCATCCCTGTGCACTGCCACCAAGTCAGCGCTGGGCCACAGTTCCCCAAGAGAAGAAATTGCTTCCTTATAAAGTCGCGCCGACCGTTCATCAGCGCAGGAAACTAATTTGATGCGGCCTTGGTAGAGACCAGCATCGCGGACAGTTGGCGCAGGGCCAGGATTTTTCCGGAGAATCTCCTTGTACACCCGGCAGAGACCCACCAGGACGGACCTCCAGTTGTCGGCCGTCAGGTTTCCTTCCGGGTGCCCCCTATCCATAACTGCCAGGATCAAGTGGTCCTTGGCCACATCACTGAAAGCCCTCAGAGCCCTTGGAGGGTTAAGAGGGCTGTTAGCGTTAGAGGTTTTGGGCCTCTTAGGAGCAGCATCCACGTTGTCTGCTGACCGTTGCCTTTTGCTGCCCAGCTCCCTAGGACGAGAGTGAGTGGGTGCAGGTTTGTTGGCGGCATTTCCTTCCTGAGGTCGCTAACGACTTTCGGAGAGAACGCCCCTCGCCCTCTCAACCACTTCCCTCATACTCTCGGGAACCGGGTCATTGCCGAACTTCCTCAGTAGTCTAGAAGCGGCTATTCTGTCCCTCTTAGCCCTGACTGCTGGTCGGACTTCTTTTTTGGTCCTCGAACCACTGGGACCTGGGACGCCTTTGCGTTGATCCGACTTCTTACCCTCAAGGGGCTTGCGGTCGGTGGTGCTGTCCGTGCAGGACTTCCGGGTGCCAGTATCGCCTTCTCCCGGCGCCGCTTTGGAGCTGCCCTCAAGGGGTGTACTCGCAGCTTCCAGAGATGTGGACGACTGGCACGAGAGATCAATTGGCCGTGCAGGCTCCGCTTGCAACCCAGACGCCAGTTGACCACTACCCACCAGGGGTTTGTTGCTACTGACGCCGGGCGCAACATTTAGTACGGTTAGCCGTTCGGCTCCTTCGGGACCGCTCCAGCGGCTACCGAAGATGTCGTTTTTAGACAGACTTTAACGCCGTGTCCGTCGGCGGCATTTTTACCCGTGCAGGGATCCGGGGCTACATTTTTCGAATTCATAATTTCTGGTTCGTTGGTCGCCTACTGAGCCGAAACCGTTCGGCGACCGAATATATGGGTAAGGGGAAAAACGGTCGGCCTCAGCAGAGCCCCATGCTGAGGTAAGTCCACCGTTACTCCCGGAGGCGGACAGGTATCCGAGAGGCGCCGTTAGAATACAGTCGGAAAACCCCCTGACTGCAAACCATCCAATGGGCACGGTGACGCATGACACCCTGGATTAGGGGGGCGTTTTATACCTATCGCCAGGTACCCCCTAGAAATAGCCTAAGTATGCCCACCCCAGCCCCCCTCGGGCGAGCCCGTACGGCCTACCACTAGACCTAGATGAGGGGAGGGGAGTTTATACCTCGGCCTTGGCTAGGCCCCGCCTGCTTGCACCACTGCAGCCATAGGAACAAGCCTACCTTGCCACAGCGGTGTAAGCAACGATGCCCATTGCCCAGTCGGCACCCGCTTGGAGGATATATCTAGGAGGATTTTGTTAACATTGTGAGGACTCAGCTGCGACCTTTTATTAGTAATAGTAAGTCCAGCAATAGAAAACACACGTTTGCTTGGTGTACTTGTTGCCGGTATGCACAACACTTTTTGTGCTAATATAGATAGTAAAGGAATAGAACATGATTTTTCTCGCCAAAAATTCAAGACGTTTTGGGTTGATGAT